CCTCCACCTCTGTTTAATGATGGACGGTCTTTCTTCACAAAAATGGCTTCTTTTACTCCTCTCTCAAACCAACGTTCCTCTCTATCAAGAAAGAGAACATCCTCATCTCTGGAATTATGTTCAGTAGATTTTATCATAAACGAAACCACATTTTTCTAGTCGTACACACCACATCTCTGAAAAAAAAACATTTATTTTGCAGTGAGCTGAAATTTGGATTTCTGCAGCTTTTTTTAAAAAATAATCAGAAACCTATATAAAAAATACTGAACAAGTGAAAATAAATTGCTTCACCAGCAGTTTGTTTTTATCACTGTAATAATGCTGCCTGTTAGCTCCTCAAGTATTTCTAATATTTCTGTTTCTTTGGGAGGATAATGTTTTTAATCATTGAAGAGGTGATATTCTCCATACTGACCATCTTTTTTACACAGTAATTTAGTTTTTGTTAGGACACAGTAGGAATGATCAAACAACTCTCTGTCTGTTTGTGACTTTTAATACAGTATTAGATTATATTAACATACTGTATATTATAAAAATATATTTTACTTGGTCACGCAGCATTTTTTTCCTTTTTTTGTTTCTACAAGTTTTGATTTTTTCCTATCCATCAAAAAAAAAAAGACCAGTTATTTTGCATTGCATTAGATCAGTGTTTCAAAAAAAAGTTTAAAAAAAAGTGTTCATACTGAAGACACCTCCTCAAGTAGTGCTATTTATCACAGACAATAGAATCTAGTAGTTTTCTTACAGGCTTGTTTTTATATTGTTTCTCCTTGTTTCAAACTTTTCAGTCAAAATCAAATCGGACTTTTATCAGAAACCTAACACTTCTGGCACACTGAGACGTCACCATCCTGGACTTTCTAATACACCTGATGAACCTGAGGTCCAGAGAAWTTTAAACAACGAACCTAAAAACACTTTAAGCACTTAGATTAGATTTTGATTGACATGTGTCAGTCTGCACCGTCCTTTTGACTCCTCAGTCCAAAMTGTTGAGATCACATTCTATGACAGTGTAATATGGCCACATTACGAGATTTTTCTTTTTTTTTTTTTTAATTACGAGTTTAAAGTCACAACATTCCGGGAAAAGAAAAGGCAGTTTTATGAGAATAAATGAGTCCATTTTCCATTCCTGGGTCGAGCCTTTTTTTATTAAATTGCCTGCGATTACTTTTGGGTTACTGTTAGTGAATTATGCTTCCATCCACATTATGTAACGACTAAATCCATCAATGCAGCCATTAATTATAATGTTATACTGCTTCAGCTTAGCACATGAATCTATATAATGGTTTGCACAATTGTTTAAAAGTTCTGCTACTGATAATAATTTGATGCTGTAGTGTTAAAAGGTTACGTTTTTCCTTATTTGTTAAACCAATAACAAATTATAACTTCACAAGATGCTCATTCTACAGTATATAGAAGTGCTTTTTTATGTAGGAGTTCTCGTAATGTTACAACTTTATTCTCATAATTAAAAAAAAATCAGTTGTCGTATGGTTCTAATACTCAGCTGTAAGATTAAGGAGGCACCACTAAATGAAAAGCCCACCAACCCTGACTGAACGTTGTGGTTTAACTCATCCACCACAGGTTCAGCTTTTCTTCTGTCTCACAGCTGAACACAAATAAGAGTCAACATGAATCAAATCTTCTTGTTGTTTTACATGTTTGTTGCTTGCATGTCCTTTAGAAACTACAGTGGTGCTGCTTAAGTATACACTGGTTCAGTCGTCCACTTTAGTTTCCACAGGGGGCCTTAAAGTATTCACTGCAGCTTTGTGTGGAAGTTTCCATTCGGTGTCAAAATTACCTTCTTTTCTCTGCTTTTAGCTTCACCTCACAGGTCAGCTTACAATGGTTAATTAGCTTGAGTACCACAGGAGGAAACCTGCATCACAGTTTAACAGCTATAGAACTAGATTGTATTGGTCCAAACATTTGATGATGACTTTTCTGATTAAAAACAAGTCGAGCTTTAGTGAATTCAAAAGGCAATAATTATTTGATTGTTGAAACAAAGAAAATAGTTTTAAATTTACAAGAAGTCTTTTTGTTTTTACATGAACAAAGAAACAAACCCAGTGTTAGATGTACTGCAGTCCTAGAATATGAAGAAAATGTTCAGGCGTCAACACGGTTTCATCTTAAAATCTACATTTTTTTTAAAATCAGTGACTTGTTTTGACTTTGATTAAAAAAATATGAGTGAAAAGTGCAGCAGTGCATGAGTAAGCCCAGTTCTGCCATCTAACCAGAGGTTCTGCAGCATCTCCACGATGAGGTTTGTTACCGATTTAAAAAAATAATTACAGCAACATGAAACATGTGGGAACAATTTCCCACTTCTTTGGTAAATGTGATTAAATGTATCCATGTGAGTAGAACCATGACCAGCTGCTGTGGGACAAAATGTAATTTATGAGAGGGTTTTGCCTTAATTCCTAAAAGTGCAAACCTTGTAAAATTAYAAAGTACAGATTGAAACAAACTCGCTTAAAGAGGAATTTAGTTATGGGACTAAGCAGAAGACATTTCCCTTTGCGGTTTRGGTTTTGTTGAACTTTCCGCGTATTTGCCGACTTGTGGTTTTAGAAACTTT